GCTGATTTTCTTTTTTGGTGGTTTGGGTTCTGTAGTTTCCACATCGGAGTGTTGCTCTTTTAAGACTTCTGAAAGCATGCTCCACACCCCGTCCCGATCAGATTTTGGAAGGCACTTCACATTCTTAAATCTTGGGTCGAGTGCTATCTTTAGAAATGTCACATTGATACCTTCTTTGCGTTTTGTGAAAGCTGCAGTGAAAGTGTTCTTAAAACAAAGAACATACTGGGGCATCATCTGAGACTGCTATAACATGAAACGTATGGCAGAAAATGGGTAGAACACAGAGCAGGAGACATACAATTCTCCCCAAAGGAGTTCAGTTACAAATTTAATTAATGAATTTTTTTTAACGAGTGTCATTAGCATGGAAACGTCATCTGGAATGGTGGCCAAAGCACAAAGGGGAATATGAATGTTTAGCGTATCTGGCACGTAAATATCTTGCAATGCCAGCTACAACAGTGCCATGTGAACATCTTTTCTCACTTTCAGGTGACATTGTAAATAACAAGCAGGCAGAATTATCTCCCATAAATGTAAGCAAACTTGTTTGTCTGAACGATTGGCTGAACAAGAAGTAGGACTGAGTGGACTTGGAGGCTCTAAAGTTTTACATTGTTTTATTTTTGAGTGCAGTTATGTAACAAAAAAAATCTACATTTGTAAATTGCGTTTTCACAATGAAGAGATTGCACTGCGGTACTCTTATGAGATGAACTGAAAAATACTATTTCTTTCATTTATCATTTTTACAGTGCAAATATTTGTCATAAAAATAATATAAAGTGAGTACTGTACACTTTGTATTCTGGGTTGTAACCAAAAATCAATATATTTGAAAATGTAGAAAAACATCCAAAATACTTAATACATTTCAGTTTGTATTTAACAGTGTAATTAAAACTGCGATTAATTGCAATTATTTTTTTATTTGAGTTAATTGCGTGACTTAACTGCAATTAAATCGACAGCCCTTCTTAATATACTAAATAGATTGGATATGAATAGCAGTTTCTCACCGTAAGACATGATACAAGCAGGCTGCAGATTCTTAAGGGGCAAGCTACACATGCTTACAGCTTGGAATCTCCAGGTGTTCCATTCACAGGCTAAGAATCCCTTTAGCCTGGGTCCAGGAGTCTCTTGTGTGGGGAGTGAAGAACACCAGATGATGTCACTCCCTGCCTTATATAGCTTTTGCATACATCTGGAACCCTTTGTTTCAAAGCTTAGTTCCCAGACTGGTCTGTGGAAAATTACTGACATTCCAAAATGGAGTCTAGAGACATGTGGTTTCATCACATGTCCTTGTAGAGTCATAGCAGCCATCACTCACAGGCTGTTTGGAGCATTCACAGGAAGGCTCCCCAGGTGGGAGATAAGCTTCTCCTAAGGCCTATTGTTCTCTCTAATGGCTCTTCCTCACCCACTATCTAGAATGTAGGCATCTTGTCTAGTGGGTGTTCCCCAGGTGTAACTACATTTGAAATACAGAGACACAACTTCAGATACAAAATTATACATGCATACAAATAGCATAATCATATTCAGAAAATCATAACCTTTCTAATGATATCTCACGACTTATCTTACATTCATCATAACTATGTCATAATCACATCATAACAACACTATGAAGAATATGGGGTGCAGTGTCACAGAACCTTACTTTTTCTGCACTATTTTAAAATATGTGGTCTGTCATTACCATGATTCAAAAAGTATATATTAAAGTATTTTAGGACAAGTTTTTTTCTTTTTTCAAGACTGAAGAAATAATTTATACAGTATATGGCCTTAGAGTGAGATTCTGTGTTGTGCTTCCTATAGGCATATTAGCTAAATTGGCTTTAGGGCAATACCTTTGTGCCCTCTCAATTCTGCACTGCTTCAGGGATTGATAGACCCCCAGCCTAACTCAGACAGCCATTCTGTACAGTATGGTGATTAATGAAAATCAAAGCCTAGCCTGCTATAAAGACATTACTTATTGATACAAAGATATGCACAATGCTCATATAGCATAAATGTTGTTTTGTTAAGGGAACTTTCTTCCTCATCCAAAAAACTAAGCTGTGTTTAGTCTTGAGAAAAGAAGACTGGGAGAGACCTGATAACACTCTTCAAATATGTTAAGGGCTGTTATATAAAGAGGATAGTGGGTCAATTGTTCTCCATGTCTACTGAAGGCAGGACAAACATTAAACGGTTTACTCTGCAGCAAGGGAGGTTTAGATTAGATATTAGGGAAAATGTTCTAACTATAAGGATAACTAAGCATTGCAATTGCTTACCAAGGGAGGCTGTGGTATCCCTGTCATTGGAGGTTTTAAAGACTAATTTAGACAAACACTTGTCAGGGAAGGTCTAGGTATACTTAGTCCTATCTCAGTGCAGGGGGGGATGGACTAGATGACCTCTTAAGGTCCCATCCAGTCCCACAATTCTATGATTTGAGTAACTACTGTATCCAGTTTGTTCATAGATATTTCAACCATTCTGTCAACCATTTGCTTTCTCACTTTGTGGAACAGAGAATTAAGAGTTCAGCTCAATTCCACTTTTAACTTGTAACAGATGTTAAAATGCAGAAATAAGACATAATTGAATCTATCGTGAACAGATGTTATTCTCAGTCTACACTCAAACATAGTCAGTAGCCTATGTAGTGTACAAACTTACCGTTTCCTGGCGTTTGCTTTTATTAACATTCAGCTCAAATTTTCTCCCTAGTCTTAACTGCTCTTATGGTTCCCATCTCAGGATTGTTCTCCCCATCTCTTATATCTTTTCCTTACAGACAGCTCCCTTATATCTCTGGTGGGTAATGACTTGGTGGAACCTACATAATATTCCATCACAGGACCAACACTTGCTAACAGTGTGGAGTGGGGGGGGGGGGGGGGGGGGAAAGGGAGGGAGAAGGGGTGTCTAACAAACACTGCCAACCCTGTTCTAACTACACAAATGATAATTTTATTTAGACCGGCTTTAACTTTCACTGTACGCTTTTACGTTTACAATTTTCTTTCCAGTGTTTTAAAATATATTATCATGTAATAAATATACTTTACACATGGTGAAGAGCTAGTCAGGATGTTAAACAAACATTATTCTAAAAAGGAACAACTCAGTGGATTAGCAGTAATGTTACCTACTAACAAGTAGGTTCTTAAGTAACCTCCGGACTCCCTTTCTCCAGGCGAGTGGAGACCAGATATTTTATGGAACAGCAGGAAGCCTCAGGCCCCTTACTTCTGACAGGTGAAAATAATACTTGGATGTTGTGGAAGAGTGGTAACATTGTCTGAGCGGGAATAATATGGACAAATGTCCAACTCTGCTCAAAAATAAAGAGGTGGGCTGGGTCATATTTTTGGAGACAATTTCCATCCAAACCAGAAAAGTATTGTATAGGAACTTGTCCCCAGGGATAGAGATTTACCCTTGACTGGCCCAACATGACAAAAGCAATCCAAACTACTTTTCTGTATGTCATAGTTTGTCTCCTGCCCACAAGTGTCAGTCCCTTTCAAATGTTATAAACACTGGCTTCCCTGAAGCAAGGGAGGCAAAGGACAAAGCTTCTATTGATGCTAGAGCTGGGAAATCAATTGATTTTTCTGTTTGGCCGGCAAAAAAGTTAGTTCAGTTCTGAAAGCATTCCGAATGGTTCTAATTTTGGGTGAGGAGGAGGCACTGAACCACTTGGTGCTGAATCCACTACACCCTTGATGCCCTGGCCCTGGAATCAGAGACTGATTTCACTGCCCAAGACTATACAGAATCTCAATATTGTGCTCCCTCAAAGCTCCTGCGGTACATAGATTGAAGCCATCAGCCCTTCAAAACTCTAACTAATTCGCAACACTGGCTACCATGAGCAAACCAAACCCATCCTCTACTCTCTATGCTGGATTCCCATACAACAGAGTCACGTCCAAGGTCTTGATGGCAGTTGATGGCCTGTCCCAGGATATCTAAAGGATCATCATTATTCTCTGGGATGAGAACCGTAGTCGACAACTCCACCCTTGGATAAAATGGAACTTTCTACAATAAAGATGAAACTCATCTATGCAGGAGACAGAGCTTTTCTGGGGACCAGTCTTTCTCCCAAAGAAACTAAGGACCATCATAAACTTCCTTCTTTCACCATCTTTTGCCCCAAGTGCAAGGCACACTTCCTTCAACCTGCCTTTAACACACACAATGTGTATATTAAAAAAACCTGAAACAAAATCCTAGTAAACCAAAACACTGCACTGCACACACAATTTTCTCCGTGGGGAGAGGAAGAGAGAAGAGAATGAATCATATGATAGATGTTACTCACATCTCTTAATGCACTCCCAAAAGTGCTGTTACTATTGAGACTAGTGTGGTATAAAAAAATATTGAATAGAATATGTTTCCCCCAAAAGGCTTTCCAAAACTGATTAAAATGGGAAAAATCTCCATTTTGGTAAGTGGGGTATTTCTATTGCACTCATGACTAGCAGCACAGTAAGTGATAAAAAGAAAATGGGAAACACACTTAGGAATTCACGTATGTTCTCTAACTTTTTATTTTTAATTTATTTACATTCAGAACTGCAAAACATAAGATCTTATAGGAATTTCCCCCCAGTGAGCATGTAGGAAGACTAAAATTTTCTAGAATATTAAAATGGTGGCTGTTCACTGGTCCGTGTAATGAGTTGACATCAGCCAAGTTCAGAGTGAACAAAAATTCCCCCCTCAATTGGCATCTTTGTTGGCAGTCTCCATTGAGAGTTTAAGGACTAAATAGACAGGACTGAATTATTTTCGTTGCTCAGAGGTGATCTCTTCAAAACAAAGTCTGGGGTACACTGCTCAGACTGTAAACCTGAGAAAGTATATGCTCTGCCTGTGCTTACGCCTGTTCTGTGGAGAAACACAGGACTTCAGCTTCAATTTAACTGAATGCAGCCCTTCTCATGTGTGCTAAATTCACAAAAAATAGTTATTTTTACCTCTTAATATTAAGCAATGCCCAAGGTATTCCAGTGGGAGTGTTAAACGCTGGGAGCAACTTTTCTCCAAGTTCCACTGCTTTCTTTCGAAATATCTGAAAAATAAAAACCAATCATAATATTATACCGTATAAACTATGTACTAAGTACTAGGAAATAAATAGTGTTGTTGATATTACTATTGGTAGTGTTTTACAAAGCATCCCTTAACACTACATAGTATAGCACCCTGGGGTTTGTGCAGAGATGTTGAAGAAAAAGGAAGATACAATACTTTAGTACCGAAGGAAAAGTTATACCTGGCATTCTATTCATAAGATTTAGAACTACTTCAATATGTCTAACTATCAGCAGGAAACACAACAAAACTTTTTATGCTTAGAGAAAAAGTATCTAGTTATAACAATACTGCAAATATGGGTTCTGCTCTCTCCAATTGCCAACAGTCAGCTCAGGCTGGACTGAGCTAACTGTTGGAAGGCTTTCTTTGAGCACTATCTGATGATCTCTTCAAGAAGAGAGTTTTCTAATACAGGAAAACTGTTCCAAATTAATATAGAAACCTATTTATGGAGAGCAATTACAATACTTGGTTGTTCAAGCACTATTATCTGCTTTGAATCACACTGGGGTTTTATAGAACATACAAAAAATAATTATCCCAGGTGTACTAAAATATCAAAGTCACCTTTGCTGATTTTCTCTCCAACAGTGCCTCCCCCTTCAACTTAGTTTTTCTCATGAAAACATTTACAATATATGTTTTTAGGCATCAATTTTCAGTTTGATATATATCACAATTTAAATTGGTATTCTAAGCCAAATTTTCTGAGGAAGAAAAATGCACACACCAACTTTGTACAGATGTACTTGTGTGTGTAAACAACATTTGCTGGTGGACCAATGCAAGAGAAGATGGGAGCACACTCATTTACCTTCTCATAAATAACAGCAGTTCATAAGAAATACTGTACTTTCCAAAAGCCACTTTCAATATTTGTAAATAAAGTAGGTTTTTATTTAATCAGAGGATCTTACACTTTTTGGTCAAATTTCAGTTGCTGGATTTTAGTGCCTGGATACTGGGTGGCGTTGGTAGCCTGAGATATACAGAAGATCACACTAGATGACCATGATCCCTTCTGGCCTCTGATTCTGTAACCACATGGGACAAAACTAACCATAGTTTCCTGTTGGGTCCTCTATCTTACCATTTGTGACTACGAATGATTGTGGGATTGGACTTGCAACAGAAATATGTGATTTTGGATGGGGCCGGTTAGCTGCATTCTTGTACTAGAGCTGGTATCCGCATGGAGTTGGACCGCAGGAGTTGGTGCTTCAGCCTACTCCTCCCACTCTTAACCGTACTCTACTCCACAGAAGAGAGGCAGGAATTAAGTGCTGTGAGCAGGGCCAAAGTAGTATCGAGGTAGATTTAACAGAAATTTGACAATGAGAAAAATAAGCAATTTGTTTAGGATGCTTTCGATATCCAGTTTGTTCTGAATATTCAAAGCAGTTCATTATATTTTCATGATGATATGGATTTTGCTACAAATTATGGCTATGTCCTTCAGACTGCTTTACAGTATGCCTGGGGTTAATGTAGAGGATACTTTGAAACCACAGCTAGTGTAGAATTCAACTGTCTCCCTGCTTGGAGGCATTAGCTATCGGGAGCATGTTAAAATAAGTCTATGAAGACTGCACTGGCTTTCCATTTCTTTTTGTTTGCAATTCAAGTTGTTCAGATTGATCTATAAATACCAATATTGTTTTTTGCCCTAGCTACTTTAGAGACCATCTCTTTTTCCTATACGATGTCATGACAGTGGAGATAACTGGACAACTCATGCTAGCAGTCCCTATATTTAAAACATCTGGAGACTGGCTGTACAGTATATAATGATGGACCTCACTCATGTTGGAATTTATGTTCCCTACTAATGCAACAGAGGAGGACACAGTATGAGATCATATCTTTTCTCGGGGTTTTGCCTGAATGAGACATTGTGGCAGTACGTATTTTATTTTGTGGAACAGGAGTCAAGGTTGATGGTTGTCAATGTTTCATGGGTATTATTTTTAAGACATGTGCCCCGGGACAGTCTGAGTTGCTTTTTATAAATAAAAACATACATACATTTAATTATAATATAGGATACAAGGCCATGACCATGATTTCATAACTGTGGTACATTATTGGCTGTATTAATCATTACTAAGCAGCCTATACACAGGCTCAGCAAGAGATATATTAGAGTAACTGTTTCTGGACAAGAAGATACTACTTTAGTTTAACATCAAGGTTTTAATGCTGCAATACTGAACTGCGAATTATTCACAACTTTCAGTAATAAAACTTCCATCATTCAATCTTGTTATACTTATTTGTTGACATATCTCAATTTCCTTGAAACTTGTTTTGTCTGTTTTAGGGAGACAAGAATTGGTTAGCCAAAACTAATGGTTGTAATATTAAGCATTAAGGAAATATTTTTCCACTTTTAGATAAGCAAGGAAAGCCATAAGTTATTCATGTGAACTAATGCTCTGAACAAATATTACATCAGCTTTAAAACATGAGAAAAAATTAAGCATATTGGTGTTAGGAAGTTAATTGGAATACCCTTTTCAAAATTAGCAGCTAAAAGTACAGGAATTGAAACGGAAAAGGAAAAGCCATTAAGAAAATAGGACCAGAGTAATTTTTAAATTGAACTAACATTCTAGAACAAGTCTTGAGCATAAAAGTCCACTCTTGTCACTTGCAACACAGATTTTCATAAATTTCTCAATTGATTCTAATAATTTTTAACTTCTTTCAAAAATTCAAAATTTGAACTAGAATAAAGGAACTATAGACATTCTTTAATTTTATCCTAGACTACAATTTAACATGACTGTACTACTGACTGTGCGGTAACTATCTAAATGAGTAAAAAACAGTACTGGCAACTGTGATTTCAAGCATACAATAATGCTGTGTGAATGGCTGAACATATTTAATTGGAACATGATCCAGCAAAAATCACCATCCTTGAATAGACAAAAAGCTAACAGCGAAGCCACTTTTTATTCATTTAACTGATACCTTTAATACAGTTCAGCTACACAAACAAGAAAAACTCATCTTAGCTGCAATTAGTAAGCTCAATCTATCTCAGAACATTTTTTTCTTTTGCAGACCATACATTTCCTAACAGTGTGCAAGAAATAAATGCTATGCAAAAGAATCCATAAGGTACTTGCTTTTTACAAGTTGATGAAAATTAAGAAGTTGAAACGTTCATTTTTAAAGACACATCCACATGCCAATATAGATTTTAGCGAATGTTTACTAAACTTGTCTCTGTTCCCTCAGAATATTTTAAACATGTCTATTCCATCTATTGTCATACACCAAACTTAACCTGTCATTCAATTCATTCAATGAACACATTAAAATTGTTAACTTATCATTCTGCCTCTATAATTTAGCTTCTTAATTTTAAAAAATATTTAAATAAATTTATTCCTCATGAGAGACGCTAGATTAACAGTTTTGCAAAATGAACTACTTTGTCGACAGGTTTCTGAGTAGCAGCCGTGTTAGTCTGTATTTGCAAAAGGAAAAGGAGTACTTGTGGCACCTTAGAGACTAACAAATTTATTTGAGCATCAGCTTTCTTGAGCTACAGCTCACTTCATCTGACCTGTAGCTCACAAAAGCTTATGCTCAAATAAATTTGTAAATCTCTAAGGTGCCACAAGTACTCCTTTTCTTTCTGTCGATAGGATACACAAGCTCTGGGGAGACATGCCTTGGTATAACACAATGCCTATGTGTATCGTGGCCCCTATTACTAATAAGTCATCCAGATTCCTCAATTTTAATTCTCTGTCTTTCACAGTATTAACACTTGTTAGAACTCTTCCTTGTACAAGATAAGGAAAATAACCACATCTACATACACTGTATTTTCATCAGCAAACTTCCTACAATAATTGCTTTTATAATTTGTTCAATCATCTCTCAAAGTGTGTGAAGCACCTTTCTGACCTACTCCAAACTCAGAAAGTCATCCCTGTTCAGCAAAGAACTTAAGTTATGTGCTCTGATGAACTTGGACACCAACTTTAGACTGTATGTGTGGAGAGTTTAAATAAATTAGTTTTTAAAAAGTCTATTTAGAGAGATTACTCCCATTCACCATGCTATTATATGCTATGCAGAAATGGCAAGTGTACTCATAAAACTTTTTTCTTTTACTGAATTGATCATTGTGGATTTAAATAAAAGCTTTATTTTCAAGATAGTAGATCAAATATTCAGAACTGAATAGTTCAAACTAACAAACAGAAGCTCCAGTCCTGAGATCACGTCCATGATGGCAGGCCCTTATACTCCCATGGAACCTCATTAACATCCACATGGGCACAAAGGGCTACTTGCCCAGATCTAATTGCAGGATTGAGTGCAAAGCTATTTTCTGTGGTGAGAATGAACAACCCAAAGTATAGGGTTTTCTTTTCCTGAATGAAACAGGCATACATATTCGCTCTCAGAGAAAAATGATGCCCTCTACCTGGAATGACAAATATTTATGAAAGTCAAATTAGCCTAATAACTATTGCAAATGAAGTGATCAGAAAAAAGGGAAAACAGAATACAAAGGAGGAACAAGTGCCTCCTACAAATTCTAACTATAATACACAGCCAAGCATGGTGAATTATTGTAAATTAAAGGGCATTTCTAACTCCATCAAAAGACATTAACCTTCATCAGCAACGATGGGGTAATTTTATCTTATCCTTCAGCTCCAAACTAATTTATGCATTGTGGTATCTGATTGATTAAAAAATAAAATAAATTATAAAACATACACCCCTGAAAGAATTCTCTACAGAAAGATGAAACTGGAAGTTAAAGTTTAACCACTACATCAGGAAAACATCATACTTAGAATTTTAAAAACAAATATTGAAAACATTTTCTTCTCATTTCTATATCTGTTCAATAAAACATTACTCACTTTTTTCATTACACTTACAGATGGAAATAGACAGGACTCTGACTAAGATGCATTGTTTTCTTTGCAGCAACTGACC